GGACGCGCCCTTTGCATTCGCCATCTCTACGGGACGGCTTAGGTCCGTCGGGACCGTCCGGGGGAGGAGATATCAGCTGCGATCCTGGGAGCCCAGGATCGCCCGCCGTATCGCCGCGACGCCAGCTCCGCCCTCCCGCATAAGTATAAATCTTGATGTCAGCAATAAATCTTGATGTCAGCAATAAGTATAAATCTTGATGTCAGCAATTCATTGTGTTTTGTGAATCCAAAACAGCAACCATCTCGGATATCTGGAAGCCAGACTTCCTAAACTCTGGCAATTTGGGTTACGCAATCCAGTTTACGGACAGCCAACACAGCAGCACAGGAGATGTTTCAGGAAAGCAAGGCTATGTGGACAATGGTATCTTGGTCAACTGGAATGGCCATCCTCAGAAGCAGTTAAATAGCTGAGTCCAGAGTTGTGTCACCAATCAGCATGGAGTTGGGTTTGCTGAGAAAACTGAAATATAAGGGCCAGCATCTGATGGGGCTTCAAGGAGTAGATCACCAGGGAGATTTACTCAGTAGACTTGGAGAAAGAAGAAACAGGCAGGAAGTGGAGGTCCTGGGAGAACTGTTAGAGGTGAAATCCATGCTGATACCAAGAGCCCAGTGCAAAGCAATATGGTCTGAGGAAAGGTGAAGACCCACCACAGTGAGCCAGGCCAGAACACTGAGGAGATGGTGCAGAGAGACCTCCTCTGGCAATTGTGAGGCAGGGAGGAAATTTTAGTGGACTTACACTATTGTTCCTCTGAGGAAATAAATCTGTTGTGCCCAGAAGCTCCCATAAATCCAGCCTTCACATAGTTGGCATGTACAAATGGGGTGAAGGCTAGGTTAGAAGGAAACAATTTGCCTTTAAGGAAATAATTTGGTTAAAAATTCCAGAGAGTAAAAGAAATAGTGGTTTCATTTTAAAAAGGGATTTGCATATTTCTAATCATTCTGTCTTGCTCAATTTCTCCTAAATACTGTAACACCTGACCTTATTTCTTACTGCATGTACGAGGAGATGGGATGAGTAACTAGATGATGGAATAGAACAAATTGAATTAATTAAATAAATAAAACAGGGATCTCTATCATCCCCAGAATGTGTAGGTCATTATATACATGGTGCACTGAGATCTCTTCACAGTACTAATTGGCAACATTTAAGGATTGGCACTCAGAAGTTGAGTTTAAAGATTTGTTCATGCTACAAAAGATGCAGAGATGGAACCTGGGAATGGGTTTATAAAAGGTATACTCACATGTAAGAGGGCACTAGCTGCATAGGTTACAATGATTGCTGAGAAGGTCCCCAATTTCAGGGAGTTCTTAAAGACATCTGAAACAGATGGAATTTGTCAGTTGAGTAGTTTCTCTTGTTCTCTTCAAAAACTCCTGGCCACCATTCCAACCATGTAAGAAATTATATATCCAGCTCCTATATGAGAGTGAACTAGCCAGCATCTTTCTGGAAGCTACTGCTATCTCAAACCACCAGGTATTCATAAAAATACTACCTCTGAATATAGAGTTCTAATAGTTGTTTGTAGACATGGCCTTCATGACCTTGTTCAAGCTGTTTAAAAGCATCTATGCTGATGGCCATCACATTTCATGGTAATGAATCCTCAAGGTTAATTATGCCTTGTAAGAATTATTGCCTGTCTCTGGCCTGAAGCTGTTGCTATCAAAGACCAGACTTAACAGGAGGCCCTGTGTCTCTTGACACAAATTAGTAAGACAGGCAATATTACTTGGGATTTGTCAACAATTATTACTTTTAGGCTGTATGTTATTTACCAGCTATGTGGTTAGAATCACATAACCAGGGATGTGTGTGTGGGGGGGTGCTCTGTCATGCAATTTCATGGCTCCACACGCTGGAACAGAGACACTGCCCTACAGAAGCAGGCTTCCCAGAAGCAATTCTAAATCACGTGTGACATCTAGGAAAAGCAGCCCCATAGCTTCAAACCATGTGAGGGAGGGCAAATCCAATGACCACAACACATCAGTAGGGGCAGGGCTAGCAAGCCCAGCCCACTTTCCCTCTTCTGTTAGACAAATCAAGATTTTTTATCCATTCCATAATTCACAACTCCAAAATTGTCACTGCTCAAAGACAGGGCTCTCCTGTTGCACTGAGATACAATGTCCTTTGTTTAGTTTTGGTTTAACGTGTTATTAACTCAGCCATTTATAAACCATAGTGATAGCAGAGAGTATATGATCCTGGCCAAACCATGGGTGAGCAAACCATCATAGTGCAATTCACTTAGAAGCATGTGAAAATCTAGACCTTTAAGTTAAAACAACCCGCAGTCTACCTCTGTGCCTACAAAAAGACACATAAAGAATAGTAAGCATCTAGCTTAGCTTTTCTCCATCTTGGTTTTTTTTAGGTGTATTCCCACTACCCTCAGCCAATGTAACCAGTTATGGGTACATATCTGGGGAACAACTGGGAAAAGACTGATCTGAAATCTTCTCTTAGTAATAAGAGGGGGGATAAAAATAAAGAAGAGCCAGAAATTTCAAGGGAAATAGGACACCCTTCTTGAGGAGTCATTGATGGGCATTTAGGCACAAGCACTTAAAGCTAAGAGCTCCACCCAGAACACCTTGAGGGTTCTACAGAGTGTTCTAAAGACAAGACAGATCTCAGTATTCTCACAGGAGTTTAGCCATCGTGACATGGGCAGGTTCCAGCTGGTTACCACCTCCACCATAGAACGTGGCAGCTCCACCCTCAGAGGATGAGACACTGTCAGGTCCCTGGAAAGGAAAAATGAATACATATTTACTTGGGGCAGGATGCAGGAAGGGTCTCTCTGATATCAAGGATCCATTGAGCTAGAAGTGTAGAATTGTCCAGCTGGCAAATTTGGAAACACTTGAAGCCCCTGGGGTCTTTTCTACCTCAGCAGGAACTCCAGAAATTGTCTGACGATAGCCATCCCAGGAAAGTGGGTTCAATATAAAAAGTAATATGCTACCGAATCTGGAGCAATAAGACGTTTATCTTAAAAATAGGAGTGAAAGAACCCAGCTTTCTGGTCCCCATGGAGATTGCCCCCAAACTTCATCAAGAACAGACGGCAGATAGGGGTGGACAGCCTTTTTCAGGTCATGGACTATGGTCAGTCTTCTGAAACCACTGAGTAGCAATGCTTATATAAGCGAGTGCACCGGGGTCAATTCAGTGCTGTTTCTCCCACTATATTGCAGTTAACTTTATATTCAATTCATTTACAATTTATGAAATACCACTAATGTATTATTCATAATTAATTACATATGCATTAAAGAACAATAATATTTTTATAACTAACCAGGCAATATTATTTATATTATTATAATACTTCTTCCCTCTCTCTCTTAAAATTAAGTTTTTACTGTCAGTCATTGCCTGGCTGATTTTCCCAATTTAATTAACATGGCAGAACTTTTCAGTAGCTTCCTGGAGAGTAATGATGCTGGTGGGAGCAGGTGTTCTCGGTAGTTTCACTTTTGCTGGTAAGATCAAAAGGGAAGAGATGAAGGTACACGTATTCTCTTAGAAGGTTTTAAATTTACTTCACTGGGCTTTCAACCCCAGCAAGGTTTTGCTGGTGTCCATGCTGGGGGAGGGTTGATTTATTATTGTTCATTTATTACTGCTGTTTTGTTTGATAGTTTTGATTTATTCTATTGTTGCACTTATCATTTTAACTCGCTGTAATCCCCTTGTCCCCCAGTCTTTTGAGTTGGGCAGACTGTAAAATAAATACAGTAAACCACAGTGGAGATAAAGGGAGGCGGGGCTCTATCAGGTGGCCTTTCCAAGCGCATGGTAGCAGAATGCCAGCCGCACATTCCCAGTGCCACCCCAAATTGGCAGAAGTTTCTCCTGAAGTGCACAAATGCCTTCTGAAGGGGCATCACAAATGTCTGCAGGGGTTCAAGAGTCTTCACCTCTGCAGACATCTGTGATGCCCCTTCAGAAGGCATTTGTGAACTTCAGGAGAAACTTCTGCCAATTTGGGGTGGCACAGGATCCTTTACATCCACTGTAAAGGATGAGGCTGCTCTCCTTGTCCAATTCCAAGACGCCCACTGTGACCTCAAAATTCTCACCATTTGGATATGATGCACCACTTTTGCTGCTCTAACTTCTGCTGTTACATAGGTGCCACTTTTCTCCCTTCATAACCAATCTTTTACGAAGGTTTTGGCTTTACCTCAGCAGTTCTCTCTGTCCAGCCAAAAGCAACAAGAATGCATTGTATTTCATTCCTGTTTATCTCTGCTTCTTCCATCCTTCCCAATGTCTTATCCCTGCCATAATATAGATAAGTCCGTGCCACAGCACGCTTGCTTATCTGTGAAAATGTTTTATTGAATTTATGTGATTTACTTCTGAGGGGACATGTAAAGAATTGCTCTGTTTCTCCATAAAATACCATGCACATTGATCACGTGCTCTTTTTAATCTAGCTTACAATATTATTTTGCATATAGAATGGTGCCCAGAGGAGCCATGCACACCACCCTGAGCTCCTTGGAGAACAGCTGAGAGAGATATCAAAACAAAGACTAGGAATAATAACAGTAACAAATGTAAGAGGAATATTGAAATCTGAAGGAAAAATGATCCTTTACTTCATCCCTAAAATATATAATATTAAAAGCCTCTGCAGGAGACCAGGTTATGCACATACATTTTAATAATATGTTTCCAATTTGCCTAGTTTGTTCCCAACTGGGCTTTGGGAATTTAAAAAATTTAAGCAAAGGATTCCAGGCACCATCTTCCACACCACTCACCATTTCAAATTCTCCTTTTCCTCTGTAAAACCTGATCCTGCCAAGGTGGCTGTAGTCTCAGACAGAAAGCCCACAAAGAAATTGCTGAAATGGAAGGAGCTGGCACTCTCGTAAGCCCGGAGCCACCTGCACGCAACAAGAGACGAGAATTGAGAAAGCAGTGAAACATTTGCACACCCACTTTTCCAAGAGAAGACGTTTAAAGCCCCATGTAGACTTACCTCATCAAAGTACTTCTGGCATGCACAAGAAAGGAAAGAAAAGGAGAGTGTCAAACAGAAAATAACAGAAATAAATCAATACACTGGGTAGACTCTTCCACATAATTACAGTAGGCTAATATGCCTAAGTGCAGAATTTAGAAAGGAAGAAAAGCAAGGTTCTGGTTGCAACCTCCCCCCCCAAAATACTGTATTTTGAAATAATGGATGATGCAATTTCTCAGGAAAAACAGGTGGATTTGAGCATAAGTTTGAGAGCCCCAGATTTTCCCTTCGTATGCAACATAGCATGAAAGATTAGAACAAATTTGCACACTGATGCTCATTTTGTCTAAGTCATATAGGTCTCTAAAAATGTAGCCCTATTCTATAAATAGGCCAATTCTTCAACATGCAGAATTGCTTGCAAAAGTTTAGTTACCCCTGGTCAAATGGTATGTTTTAACAAATCTCTCAGTGAACAGAAACTGCGCACCCTCTACATGGAACAAAGTTAAAGATAACAGCTTTCTCCAAATTTGAATGCAAACTTACTATTTATATGCCATTGTTTACAGGTACAAAATAAGAAAAAAGCAAACATGGTAGGTGCAAAAATTGCATTCAGAATTTGTAATATCTCCTTTGGCTGAAATAACAGTTTCCAAATATTCCCTATAGCCAGCTAAGAATCTTTCCATTCTTGCTACTGGAATTTTCCCCACTGTTTCTTGCAGAACTCTTCTAGCCCAGAAATATTCCTACATGTCCTTTCATTCATTGCATGTTTGAGATCTCCCCGCAGAGTCTCTCTGTAAATGGTTAATGATTCGCGTATACTTGTTTCTGGTAGCTCTGCCTTTATAGATTTCACTCAGGAATGCCACACTGATAGACAGTGAAGCATTGCTGTTGTTGTGGGAGGCTGAAGTTCAGTTGGTGGGAAAGGTGGTTCAAGGCACTTAAAGCAAGAGGATCTTGGGAGGCTTGCAACTGACTTAATCCAGAAGAGCTTGTGCAATGTTCTCAGCCAATCAGGGCTCTGAACTTCAACTTTTCTCAAATTTCTCCTCTGACTGAATAGTTCAAATACTTCAGAAATGTAGAACTGAGTCCTCTGGGATAATCTCACCTTCCCTAGCAACTCATCCTATGCAGCTTGAGATATGCTAGAAATTCCCTGGTCTGAGTTTCTATTACACTTTTCAAGGATTGTTTAGACCCAAGACTCATCTCCTGATTCACTGCAAGCCTGGTAAAAACCTCCTGCTCTCACCTAAACTAGGATTTTTCTGGTGATCAGGTAACACGATCCTTCCTGTTTAACTCACCTTCCATTTTTTGTTTTCATTCTGATTACCCTTGCCTTTCTTTCCTACGCTTCCTTAACCAAAAAGCAACTGCTTTTTCTCCCTCCTGGTAAGCTATCCTTCGATTAAATCCTGTAGAAAACACTGCATTTGAGGCACTTCCTCCTATCTCTGCTACGCCTGATGGATTTGGGGGTTCTCTGCTAATTTTAAAAGAATAAATCCTGCCAGGAAGAAAATCAAAAGGCTCATTCCAGGCTTTCCGAATGCTTTGCACTGCACCTCCAACAGTTTCTCAGCCAGCATGGGGCATGATGGCTATTGCAGCCAAATGCACCTGGAGGTACAAAGTTGAGGAATACAACTTAGATTTTTCTATATGCGATTGCCCTTTTCACTATAATATAATGTTCTTCGCTGTGACTGTTTTCTCAATAACTCAAATTGTACAGATTTTTCCAGTTATTCAGATATGAATATGAGCAGAGATGGACTAACACTACATGCTAATCCACTAGTGCAAACTATCGAAGTAATGACTCCTAACTAATGTTTGGAGAAAGCAGAATGCCCCTGTGGCATGGAAAGTCACCTGGGTTTAAAATGATGTTATTATGTATCTTCACAGCAAAGTAGTTGCTGTTAAAGCACTGACCTCTTAAATATAAAGCAACACACATCTTGCCCTACAGATCCCAAAGTTAGGTTCCAATATCTTATCTCCAGCACTCGTGAAGTGGCATTTCCTGCTCAGGAGACTAGGGAACCAATGAAGTTCCATCTGGATCTAGAAAAAGTCCATTCTGGAGTGTGTGCTTCCAGTTGATTTCTAGTGAGGAAGCCTCCTGGCCAGACTGACCATCTGCTTTTCTGCTTTCTAACAATAGCTGCTGCATTAAGAATATGCCTATTTCTTTCGTTAAGGGCTGACCTTACCATTAGGTGGATGAAGCATAAAGTCACCTGAGTATCCTGTCTGCTGCTGAAACCTGTTGCCCTTTCATAGCCCTTCTTCTCTAAAACTAGTGGTGTTCCAAAAATTTGTCTAACAACTTCTCAGCAGTTTTCTTCTGCTAAAGAGACATCTGTTTTTTCAGCCATCTTCTCTGTAAGAAAGTCTTTCAAATTTCTCTAATGTCAGAGGAAGTGTGATAACACACTAAGAGTAATTTTTTGTGTCCACTGATTGTACCTCAGATCTTTGTCACCCCACTATCCAACATGACAAATTGTCAAAATTGGCTGTTGTGTAATTTAGATAACACCTCTGCAATGGAGAAATAGAGCCCCCATATGACTCCAAGGTAATAAGGCAGAACTATACATGCTGATGGAGCAAAGCTACCACAGGAGGTGCTAATGCAGCAATACATGACTACAGGCCACAAGGCAAGTTTAGAGACCTCTGCAGACGTATTGTGTCATATGATGAGCCATAATGGGTTGATGCCAATGAGCTACACGATTGCAGTTGCTGGGCCACAAACAGCTCTGACATAAGGCTGAAGGCTTGAAAGAAATCCCGTATCACAATGTGCCCAATACAGTGACATGTGGACAAATGGTCTGGCAGTGAGATGTAGACAACTGTCATGTAGATGTAAGGAACTGTGAATGAGATGTCTGACTGGAGCAACAAGAACCCAAATGCGATCACCTAAGTCATATTACCTGCTTCTGCGCTTCCTGTCGGGAGGGATGTGATCCCAATGAGAGAAAGCAAGGGAGAAGAGAGGAAGGATTAAAGGAAGTAGAAGTTGGCAGAGAAAGAGAAAAAAGAAGTTCATTAAATTATGGTACATTCTGAATTGTGTTTTAAAATACCTGTTCTGAAAAAGCACCTCCTGAGAAAGTTAAGTACGTGAGAGAAAAGTATGACATGCACAACATCTCCCAGTGCTGTTGGAAGATGCCACAACTGTTGAGCTTCTCTTGACCTCTCAGCTGTTAAATTCAAAATGTGAAGTCACCAAACCAGAGGCCTATGGCGGTGGATGAGCTACAACTTCCAGAATCTCTCCCTGTTGCTGGCCAGCACTGATGGGAGTTGAAGTTCAGCCACTTCTGAACAGCCACAGATTCGTTACTCCTGCATTAAAATGTTTTGGTATTTCTTGGATTTTCTGCTCTGTGCACTATATGATTACACAACATTCAAGTAATAAAATCTAAGCCCTACAATTTAATTGGAGGAAATTCCAGGTGGATTTGCTGCAGTCCAGGTGTTAACACAGACAAATGCTCAGCTCTCTACTACAGAACTATATTCAGTCTGATGACAAAAGTACAATATAAGCTGTTTAGTGTAAGGACCCACAGCAGGAGACAAAGATTTTCTCTGTCCTAATCAACTTAATGTCTTTTTTTGCCCGAGAAAGAGCAATGGTAAATGGTGTTTCCCTCAAGTCATTTTTGACTTCTGAGACACAAAATCCTGCAAGGACCTCTACCTGATGGCAAAGAGAAATGGTAAATGAAACAGCTAACAATTGCTGTTTTCTTTTTTCAGACCCAACATCAGCTGCCTAAGGCACCGCCCCAATGTGTCTAATGACAGGTTTTGCAATCATCTTCAAGTCCATGACAGACACCCTATTAAAAACATTCTGACAGTCAGATGTCTTTCAGAACATACTTGGATAACCACAATACTTGTTAAACAGTACTTTTTAGAATGGAAGACTGAAACAGGGATCAAAGGTGTCATTGCCTCCAAACTAGCCATGTATGGATACTGATCTGCATTAAAAAAAAGCTGAAGTTTGTTTCCATAGTTGTAAGTTCATTCTACTCTACTTCCTTTTACCCTGTGCTGATGGCATTGTAAGGCAAACCCAAAGGTAAGTCAAGGGAATACTAAAAGTCCTTTTAAAAATATTAAACCCAAGATGTTTCTTGCAATAGCTAAAGATCCAGAGGTATGGCCAGAAGAGGACTGATGGAGGCGTTAGCTTAGGCAAAGAACAAGGAACTTTAAAACATCTCATTTTTATATTTCTCAATTTCTTCTTAAACTTCTACTTGAGTTTTAATTCAGCTTGTGTTAGAAAACTCCTTTAGCTCTGCCTTAACAAACTCATTTCCAGCTGTGGGAATGTTTGGGAATTTGAGCCTTAGAGCATCAATTCAAAGCAAAGCACTTACTTTCTCAGTAGCTTGTAGCTGTAGAGGGGTATGAAGTAAGAGAAGAGATAGGGAGCCACGCAAGTGGACATGATGAGGCACACCAGGCAGAGGAAGAAGCTCAGACAGACCTTCTGAAACCAGGAGAAACTCTATATGGAAAGAAAGAGTCAAAACCAAGCATTATGTTAGGAGCGTCCTCTGCATGGATTCCAGTCACAATCCAAATAGAAAGCCAGGAGAAGGGTTCTTCATTCACACACATCTCCATCAGCTGTAAAGCAGGCCCCACGGTTGTATGTACAACCCCACACCCATGCACCCATACAAAAATCTTGATCTGATTCATAGAATCCCTCCCAAAATTAAGCTTTGGCAGAAGGGGGATATGACTGAACACATGGGAGGACCATATTAATTGTTTTCAAGTTAAACTTAAATATAATTGCAAAATTATATAAACCAGTTATATACATTAAATTAAAATTGAGTACTGCCTAGAGCTACTGTAGTGGTGGAGGCGGCATATAAATAAATATGTAAATAAGATTTAATTACATTTTAATTAAGTTGCTTACATTTGCGCATGTCCCTACTTTGCCCAGCCTACCTGGTTTTTGGAACGGGTCCTTAGCATGTCACTCAAAGGCCAAGTGATCCCTTATCCCTCCCCACCCCTCAAAGGTGGCACAATCCTGTCTTAAAGGAACGGGGGACATCAAGTTAGTAGAGGATAAGTTAGAGCAGGGTTCATCAACCTCAGCAACTTTAAGATGGGTGTACTTCAACTCCCAGAATTCGCCAGCCAGCCATGCTGGCTGGGG